ACGGCGCCTCCGCCACGCTCAAACAGCAGGGCCCTGAAGGACGGAAAAGCATCAAAATTGCGACCAAAAACTGCCTAATGTAACTTCTGAAACCCATAGAAAAGGACGATTTTTTAGCTACTTTTTCCTTCTGCTGCTGCTGCTCCTGCTCTTGCTGCTCCTTCTGTTCAAGACAGCTCCCGATGGGAAACCCAAGAAAGGATGATTTTTTAGCTACTTTTTCCTTCTCTGCGGCTGCTGCTCCTGCTCTTGGCTGCTCCTTCTGTTCAAAAGACAGCTCCCGGATGGGAAAACACCATGGCAGTGAGGACGGAAAAAGCGCTCAAAATTGCGACCACAAACTCCCTAATGTAACTTCTGAAACCCCATAGAAAGGATTATTTAGCTACTTTTTCTCCTGCTGCTGCTGCTGCTCCGGCTCTTGCTACTCTTTCTGTTTCAAAATAACAGCTCCCGTAGGAATTTCCAAGCTCAAAAACGCGCCTGCCTCCGCCACGCTCAAACAGCAGGCCCTGAAGGACGGAAAAACAGCAACATTGCGACCAAACTGCCTAATTAACTTCTGAAAACCCATAGAAAGGATTGATTTTTTTAGTTACTTTTTCCTTCTGCTGCTGCTGCCCTGCTTTGCTGCTCCTTCCTGTTCAAAGACAGCTCCCGCGCCCTGATGGGAAAACACCATGGCAGTGGAACGGAAACGTCAAAAATTGCGACCAAAAACTCCCTAATTTCAAAGAGCTCAGAAACGGCGCCTCCGCCACGCTCAAACAGCAGGGCCCTGAAGGACGGAAAAGCATCAAAATTTCGATAGAAAAGGATGATTTTAGCTACTTTTTCCTCCTGCTGCTGCTGCTCCTGCTCTTGCTACTTCTGTTCGAAAGACAAGAAAAGTGGCCGTCTTCTAGCTTTCCAAGCTCAGAAACGGCGCCTCCGCCACGCTCAAACAGCAGGGCCCTGAAGGACGGAAAAGCATCAAAATTGCGACCGAAAACTGCCTAATGTAACTTCTGAAACCCATAGAAAGGGATGATTTTTTAGCTACTTTTCCCTCCTGCTGCTGCTGCTGCTGGTCCTGCTCTTGGTACTCCTTCTGTTCAAAAGACAGCTCCCGGATGGGAATTTCCAAGCTCAGAAACGGCGCCTCCGCCACGCTCAAACAGCAGGGCCCTGAAGGACGGAAAAGCATCAAAATTGCGACCAAAAACTGCCTAATGTAACTTCTGAAACCCATAGAAAAGGATGATTTTTTAGTTACTTTTTCCTTCTGCTGCTGCTGCTCCTGCTCTTGCTGCTCCTTCTGTTCCAAAGACAGCTCCCGGATGGGAAAACACCATGGCAGTGAAGGACGGAAAAGCATCAAAATTGCGACCAAAAACTGCCTAATGTAACTTCTGAAACCCATAGAAAAGGATTATTTTAGCTACTTTTTCCTCCTGCTGCTGCTGCTGCTCCTGCTCTTGCTACTCTTTTCTTGTTCAAAAGACAAGAAAAGTAGCCATCTTCTAGCTTTCCAAGCTCAGAAACGGCGCCTCCGCCACGCTCAAACAGCAGGGCCCTGAAGGACGGAAAAGCATCAAAATTGCGACCAAAAACTGCCTAATGTAACTTCTGAAACCCATAGAAAAGGACGATTTTTTAGCTACTTTTTCCTTCTGCTGCTGCT